AAAACATGGTATCAGTGCAATAGTAATAGTAACAGAATCACCAATAATAAAAAAAATCATGACAATAAGAGAGTAAGTAATACCATAAAAATAATTTCAAGTAAACTAATCCCAGTCAGGAATCTAACTAAAGTCATCCCTCTCTCCATCACAATGAACCTACAACTATACATCTAAATGTAATGATATGCCATGTCAACACTAATTATAGTTTATTGATTTTGTTTACAGTGAAATGGCTCCCTAAGCACTTCGTAAACAAGAAGTTAGTTATCAGTCACATCTATGTCACCTGTTTTCCTTTTCCCTTGATTTTTGTTGATTTTTGGCAAGATCTTTTCTTTTTTAGATCAATAACAAAACCAGTATCAATATTACTAGCATTGGAAAAAAAAATCCAGCAGATTCAAGAAGTGGGAAAGCAGGCACATTTACTGGGGAATTATAATCATCTCCTTGGTAACTGAACACTTGCAGAGCCATCTGTGTGCAACAAAATTTCCCAAAAATTACAATGAACATTATGCTAGCCCATAGACCAATGCATTGAAGACAGCAAGAATAAATACAGTTAACCAGAGAGCCAACTCTCGCACTACACTCACCTGCAAGAGCTGCTGGCGAGTTCTTCTTCACCAGGCACACGAACACCCCCTTGTTGATCGCCTTGACACGCATGCCTACCTTACCGTCGCTGTCCTTACAGAGGGTGATCTGCGGGAGAAATTCTTTGAAATAAGACGTGCTTGGGAAAACTGAAGGAAAGGATGACAGTTTTGTTTTTAAAGAAATTATCAAAATCTTGCAATAGAAGTATGCCAGTTTCCTTCAAAATAATCAACCAAAAATATACATACATACATACATGGAAAAAACTTTCTGAATGAGCAGAACAATAAGGGAAAAATTTTCTACAAAGGGACTTCCCACTCCAGAGAAGAAAAAAGACAATGAAAAAAATATCTAATTTCTCTTTCTTGGAACAGGATTGTACTAAATGAAAAGACTTTGTACATTATGAGGAATTACTGTGATTTATAAGGAAAAAGAAAAAGAAAATAATACCATAATACAAAGCAAAAAATCAAAATCAAGACCAAAAATATAACAACAATGAAGATGTAGAAGGGCAATGAAATAAAAACAAGACCTACCTCTCGGATGGAATTAGTAACCTGAGCTCGGTAAAGTCCAGGTGACGCACCAGAGATTGGAGCCACCATGCCTGAGGGCACCACTGAGACTGGTCCTGAGGCTGGGGCCACAGCCACAGTCCCCTGAAATTAGAAAAGGAGAGTGAATGAGTTAGTGAGTGAATGGAATGTGTAAGTAAATGAGTGTGTGCATGAAATATGTAAGTATATGAGTGTATATACTTAGAAGAATCTATGTGAATGTGTGTTTGTGAGTGCATAAGTATGCTGTCTGCAAATGCATGTTTCCGTATACATCCTTAACTCACCACCTAAAACCTTGAAAATCTTAAACCCTATGGTCAACATACAAATACAGACACTAAAAGCCAGAAAGCAACAGCATGTATTGCACATCTCCAATACATACACATTCTGCATACACAAACCACTTACCTAAACCCTAAACTCAGCATGAAAACTAGACACATACCTTGTAAAAACAAGTCATTCTCACCACAATCAACAATCCCTCAACACACATCCAATCACTCTCACCACCAATGCCAATCCCTCGACAACATAAACCATTATTTGCTCACAAAAATCTATCATCACCAAGCATACCCACTGCCTTGCCCAGATATCCCTCACCTCCACACTCGCACAGGATTTCAGAGACACACTAAACTCGATCCCAGACTTCAGGGTCCGACCTAGAGAAACTAAATCAATAAGCCTCGCTGCTTGACAAGAAAAACACTCCTCCTTGAGCCCACTACCAAACTTTGGTCCCAGAACTTTCTCTCAAGAGGCGCAGGATCATGGAAACTGCCAGACTCTCAAGTTGATCATATTTGGCAGCATTATCATTAAAGATTACTATAAATACCACTGTTACTATCATCTATAACCTACCATTACTATGAAAAAAAAAAAAAAAAAAAAAAAAAAAAAAATGCTTCTATTCCCAAAAAGACTAATAAAAAAATATACCACTACTACTGATATTCCTAAACAGTAGAGAAAAGTATCATGAAATACTTACAGGCTGCACTTGCGAGACGGCCAAATACTCTGGCATGTTTGCGGCAATGACCTCATCGGTGAATTCTAGGCCCATGTAATCTCCCAGGGAAGGGTACAGATGGGCCAAGGTATTCTGTGACTGCAAGAAAAATAAAAACATAAATACACTGACACACAAATAAATAAACAAATAAAAAGGATCAAATAATCCTTATCAATAATCAACAATATTGAAAATCACATATCAAAGGAGACAAATCAAACAATTAAATAAATAGCCTAAATACTTAGACATGCTCTTTGTTCCAATACCAATGCAAAAATACAAAAGAACATACAACAAAATTGGCCACATCTGATAGTTTGCTAACTGCGAAACTCTTAGCTTTAAGTTTAAAAATAAAAAATATGATTGTATGATAAGACTTGAAGAACTTGATTCCTGTTACCCTTATCATAATAAAATATAATGTTTAAAGGAACAAAAAAAAGTATTAGAAATTCAAATATTTTTGCATGCGTGCATTTATTTCTTTATCAGAATGAGACCAAATTATGCAATGTATACAGCCATAAGGAGAAAATACATTCCTCAAAAATGGGGAGGGGGGAGAGGGAGGGCTGTATAATACCCACCTACCCCATGGTACCTCTACCCTTAAATACAAACTCATACTAATCACGTTGTCATGAACTATGCGAGCATAAATGAAAGCAAGGAAAATCAGGGAATAGAAGACACATAATTAGGAGTCTTTCTACCAATCATACAGGAGAGGAGGAGGGGAAAAACTCAGCCAATGCCAACCGGAGAGCAAGGCCATACTCTAAACAACCATTTAGAATCAAAAGAACCCCTCTTGACTTTCCCACCAGTATTTAGTGGCTTATGCACAATCATTCAGTCCTTGGTCTTCATATGACAGTACTCAGCATAAAGAATTGTCCATCGTAGGACTTACAGCGTTAAACACCGTCAGATTTGCCAAAGGTCAACTCGTGATCGAGAAGAACAGAGCAAGGCAAAATATAACATATATTCATTTATATAACATAAAATGTGATACAAATTTTTTCATCAATAGCTAATTTTAACTTACTGAGGTTGTCCTTCATTTCTTTATATGTATATCCTTCTAATATAAAATTTTGGTGCAATATACAAAAGAAAAAAGAAAAAAATCGTCATAAGCTAAAAAACTCTCACAAATAGAATCATATTTACAAAATGGAATCTTCCCACAAGAGAAATGGAATAAAGCTCATCAAGAGTTGCCCGTTAGACATACGCTCATATTCCGAGACACTTCGGACACCTTAAACAGAGAGCCAGACCAGCATCTTGTACCTGTCAGCCAATCACCATTGGCAGCTGCATGAGACAGCCTAACAGTGATTGGCTGACAGGCACAACATGAATGTCGAGCTCTCAATTGATTATTCCGATGTGCGTCTTAATATGAGAGATGGTAAAAATCAAAAGAGACTAACACCATACCTTCGCAGCTTCTTGTGGGTGCAGCGGGTAGGGAGGTGCAGCATATCCAGAGGAGATGGCAGGTGGCGCGGTCGGATTATTTCCCGCCTGTGCTGACATCATCTCGCTCACCATCTGGGCCTGTGCCTGGAAGGGACATCATTCAACCATTTATACATTTATATCAATCTACCTATAAGCATCATATCTCTTGTTAAAACCATCATTCTCCCATCATCTCAAGACATCCACACCAAAGTAAGTTGCCCATCTATTTTTTCTTTCAAGACATCTACAAAAGTATATTATCTATTCCATTTTTTCTTTCATTCTTCTTTTTGAATTTTTTTACTCATTTCCACCATAAAAAATTGTACAGACTCATGTTGCTGATGAAAAAACAATAAAGCACTGACTGCTAAGACATCTTTATCAAACTTGTATCAAAACACAGTACAAGCACTTCCATTAAAACTAAGACACAATACAACATATCTGAAATTATAACGATCAATAAATTATGGAATAAAACTTGCAATGCCAGCTAATAGGTTAAATACTTGACAATTTACACTCAAAGTACCCAATCAACTGATGAATGATTATTCGATTATTGAAACTCCACTAAAATTATAGTTATCGATGGACCAGTATATTACTGGATGTACTATAACCCTGACATATGTTTCTTAGAGCTTTTTAACACAAGAAATTTTATGAAGAGCTTGACAAAATATATAATAATATACAATGCAATACATTTAGCACTTTTACTTCTACCTCTCCTTTCCTTTCTTTTGGAGAAGGAAAAAATGATAAACGAGAGAAAGAAAGATGAAGAGAAGTAAAAGGGGGAAAAAGAAATAGAAGAGAAATACAGAAATAATAATAATAATAAAGCAATAAGAACTTAAAAGAAATAATGATAATAATAACAGAATGAACCAAATAATTACGAAGACATACTGCAAAATGAAAATAAAATAATCAGATATGAAAGTCCTATTCATAAAAACAGCACTGATCTACAGACATCATCTTTGCAATATACCTCTTGTACAACTGATGTTATCTAAGTATATAACCTCAAACAGAATACATGCAATATGCAGACATCCCAGATCTTATATTCACCTTCATGAATAAACATAGCTGGCATGTTACCTTGAGTAAAATAATGCGTACATGTCTTGTCTCTATTTTTTAGTCATTAATATCAACAACAAAAAAGCATAACAGTCTTGCAAAATGTTTCCTTCTTTATGAATTTGTCATTTGAAAAGAAGCTATGTACAGTAGAAAATATAAGGAACAAATATTTCTCTTGAGGAACAGTATCCAAACTATGAAATTCTATAGCTACCATAATCTTCCTAATCAATTTATAATCTACCTTGATAGGTTTTGTACTATAGGGAACTTTTATTGAGAAGGGTATATATACAATATATACTTTCTTGCCTTGATGCATCTGTGAACATGTTTTTAAAAATATCACCCTTATAATGTCTGATACCTTATCTCTATCTCTTTATCTTCTATAATTCAATTTAACACAAAACAACAGGTACATTCTACTACCATATTCCACAATATGTTTTCCTAAACATCTTCTCTCATGGGAGCAAGACATAATTAAAGTCAACTCCTAATTTGATTATTTGGAAAATGGCTTTAGTATACCATTAACCACATGCTGCTGGGGATGTCATGTGCATATATGCCATGCCCACTCTGTGTTTAATTTAGTAATTGTTTTTGCATACTGCTGGCTCCACAAGACAAGTACTAAGTCACCAATGAGCCAATTATGAGAACTACTTGTCTCACCTGTTTACTCTTTTCCTTGATTTTCGATATTTTCTGGTATTTGGTATTGCTATTAGTAATGTCAATAACACTATGGAAATTATGATGCTTAGTATAAAACCAATAGTATCAATATTGACAGCATTTGTAAAAAAAAAAAATGTTTTCCCCACAAACTCAAGAAAAGGTGAAATCAGGTGAGGTCACAAGGCCTACTAATTGACTCCTTTGTGGCTAAGCACGGAAGAGTTATCTATGTGCAGACATATTCAATAAAACAATACTCAACTGATAACATATATTGATATAGCATTTGCAACAGTTTGTGTTACCCAATGCAATCATATCCATTTTTGTTGTCTGTTATCCTAGTTATCTGTCATACTATTCTTTTAGTCTTGGCAGTCACATTGTTACCATACCCTCCTCCTTGTCACCCTCTTGCTACTAGATATAACCAAAAATTTAAACCCAATATTGCTTGTCATATTTTTCAATCCTACAATATTCACCTGCAATAACACACTATGTTGATACCCAATGTCTTTCCTACTTCAGTTCAAAAACGGAATGAACAATAATTTCAAGAAGGAAATGGCTGTTAATATATGCCTATACATACATATATTCTCGTAAAATAAAAATGCATGTGCCTGACGTAGCAGATACTTACACGATATTAACCACAGCCTCAAACATGACCAAGTAATCACAGAACCCTCATTCCTTTAGCCTCTTAGCAGCAGTACTTCAAATATGTTTTTTTTTATATACATATATCAAGACATTACTGATCACTTATCATTGAAATGACAATGAATAATTTTGATCCTGGATCTATTTCAAACATAACTTGAAGTGACATACAAAGTGGACAGAAATGTTGGTTCAGCCAATGTACACAAGATTCTTCTTCATATTCTAACGCCTGAAGAGTTGTGAAATACAAGTTAAAAAAAAAATAGTTCCATGTCAGATATAAGTTGTCAGTCTTTTATAGGCATCACCAATCATTCAATACATTCTGACTGTGGCTGATCTCTTGAAAATTGCTCTAGTAATCCTGGTTTATACCACTTATTCAAGACAAGACACAGAAGATTCAGGCTATTCACTAACACCAAAACTTTTGAGTACGTGTAACACGCCACAAAAAGTGAGATCTAAAATCAACAATGAAAGTTATGCAATAAAAATCATGTGACCATGTAATAAGATGACTCAGAGTTGGCTGATGGTTGACATCCTGTATCTTATTTAGTTGTTCTTTTCTCTCTATTTTATATTCTTCTCGATAATCAATGAGATACTGGGGAATTCATGCTACTTAAATGACCTTAGTGAGGTCATAGAGTCAAATGAGGCAAAGATTTCATAATGAGATAATCATTCAGTTTTTTTTTAGCAGGCAAAGCTAAAGTAATACATATAAGTATTCTTAAATCTGTGCAAGTGTCCAAGGCTACAAAAGAAATCATGAAATTTAAGTTGGCCTCAAGTCTTACAGACAGGCCTGCATGTGATCTTTGAAATGTATAAGATATTACACCATACTTAGGCCTACATACATATACAGATTTAACCATAACCATCAACCATGGTGTATGAAAAAATTCTTGACACAATATCTTTATACAACTTTATAGACTTACTAGCAACTGCAGTTAATCTTATCCAACTGATCATGAGATGAAACATTGTGAAATACTTGACACCAATATCAGGGGAGTAGTACCTAATTTTTCCTATTTGCTGACACTGTGAGCTAGGAATGACCATCAAAAATAAATGACATGTTCATTACTCAACCATCCAGGCTTTATTCACTCAACTAACTGATTACATCCAAGTAAAAATATCCAACAATCGCAATTTAACAGCAAGAATATGATCCAATCCACTTATCCCGTTTTGAGTACATTCCTCCCCCTCTGCTTGGCAACAGGCACTTCAAGCACGAAAACACGTCAAGTAAAAATGAATCAAAAAGAAAACACAAATCACACAGATTGGCAAATCACAGCAACTCTTTAGAAACTGAACAAGGGAGGTATAATTTCCTTAAAAAGTCACGAATCACGAAGAGAACAAAACGAAAAATGTTAGCAGACGTCTTCTGACTTCACCTCTCACCACGTCCTCCTCCACTTCAGTTTATATACTTTACCTCTTTCTTTAAAAATCACTCGCTAATCAGCCAAATAATTCTCCCAGTCTTTTACTTCCCGCGGCGAATAAAACACTCTGTCCTCAGCGGCGCCACACACTTCAATGAAGTCAAATTACACGTTTACTCGCACATACACTCGACCCCAGTACCCCGTGACTGTGACGTCAACCCTTTTCCTCGTCTTCCTCTCTCTTCTCGAGCGACGTCACGCCCCAAACTCCCTTTACAACGACTGTGCCCGAGACTAAGCACTTCCCCCTCGACGCCCTTACCTCTAGGAGCTCTCACGCCCACGCCAACGAAGTGAAAACCAGCGAGGACTGCGAGGAGGGACAAGATCCTGAGCTTTTGTTTATCGAGACTCATCCTACGGGGAAAATATCTATGACGTCATCGTACGTTCGGGTATTTTGCGCTGATTCTCACATACTTCGTTGGGGGGGCTTTTATCCAATTTGGTTGGGATATCTTTTATCGTTGGTTTCTTTGTGCTTTTTCAGGAATTATGTTTCTGGTAACGAGAGTGTTTAGCGTATGGATTTTCTGGTAGAGATGGTATGTGACGTCATCAAGCGTTCGTGTTTTTTAAAACAATAAATCTCTCTATATTGAGTGCTGGTCACTTCTATAATGTATTCCATTCAAAAATACGCAAATCCACCACAATACTTCTAATCGCCATTAGATATACGAAGGATTAGACAGGAAATAGATACACATCACCACATAACAAAGGATCCTTTAGATTTTGAATGCGTGAAAGACGTGAGAATTAGGCAATACGTGAAAAACAGGAACTTCAATTCACGGAAAAGGGATGAATCAGTCGTTTATGTATGACGTCACGGATTGTGGTTACACTACTTTCCTTGGATTTTTTTTTGCTGCTATGACGACCGGAAGCAACGAAGGGTATTTATTAAAAGCAAGGTGATGTAAGTCTTGTTTGAAACTATGTAACCTTGCGAGAAGATAAATATAAACATTATCTATCTTATTTCATTTTCCATATTAGATCGAATGCATATGGTGTATATATATAGTTCCATAACACGAAGACCAGTCTACTTTTTAGAGAAATAAAATAATCATTGGAAGCATCTCTCTCTCTCTCTCTCTCTCTCTCTCTCTCTCTCTCCTCTCTCTCTCTCTCTCTCTCTCTCTCTCTCTCTCTCTCTCTCTCTCTCTCT